GGTGTAGAGAGCATATTATTGTCAAAAGTTTTGGGTCAACTTCCCCTTTAACTCCGTGCCCTTTTCTGAAGTGAAGTCAATTTGCAGTCGTTGATGGACCAAATCTGATGCATCTTACATGGACACATGTTCATCACGTATTACTTGAAAGCCTCGGCATGATCGCTCCATAAAAAAAGCCAGAAAACTCTACCGACCGTGTAATTTGATCAGCATTCAACATTAAGTCCTCCAAGAAGTCATATAAAAGTGTTCATGGCTCAGAAAGAACCGACTGGAAATGTCTAAAGGGTCCAAAAGGCGGTTTGAGGGAGAGACACCATGCATATAATTGCTCAAAATTATTCTTCCAGCTGAAGGCTGATCCAGCAGAGGAAATTTGTTGCGCTTGCCCATGTAGGTGTAATGATTCCATGTCTGACAGAGCGTTATACTCCACACCCGGGGGGGGTTGTGCTGCTTGAAGTGATCCAGCAAAGCAGCATGGTGCATTCGTTGATCCATAATTGTACTGGAGTGTGTTCATACACAAGTTTAAGTGTGAAAACTCGGCACTGCCATGGCGGCGGTTTGCAAAGTTTTTGCACTCGCGTCCTAAAATGTTTTGTTTTCGTCCTTCCAGCTCTCCTTCTTCTCTACGATGTCACCAACAAAGCATCATTTGATAACATCCGGGTAAGGAAAACGACTCATTTTGATTCCTCTCACGTTGGAAGTTGTCGTCGATGAATCGGATGACACGAGAAGGTTTTGAACATGCAGTCAAAGATTTGAATGTCTCGTCCCAAAACGATTACCTCCGCCCTTCATTTCTATTAAACATTATTTATATATTCCATGCATATGTTTTGTTGAAATAATTACATTTTTTTGAATTACAATATTTATTTAAACCTTTTTTTCCCCTGACCTTCTGTGCATACAAAGTAACAAATGACTAATGGCTCATTTATGCCAAAATGTCTTCTTTTGTAATCCAAATGTGGAAACAAATGATGATGCACGTAAATTAGAGCTAAAACACACACACACACACACACACACACACAAAATGGACTCTTCCCTTTGTAGTCGGAATGCAATTTTCCCCCTTCTGCCCCATTTGTTGCCACTCCCTTCATCCATTTTGGGTGAATTACTGTCCCTTTAATTAACACTAAATGGAGTTAGTATGATCAAGGCGAAGAAACATCTGGGAAGCCCGGCCGGTGCACTTACAGCACATTTGGAGTCGTGCGGATTTGTTGTTTGTCTGGTGTGCGCACAACTGCCGTCGTCGGGATGCGGCGCTCTCTCAATACACTCGTACGTAATCTTCTCAATTTAATGTAAACACGATCAGAGTAGCGGCGCGGTGGGCGACCAGCGAGCACGTCGGCCTCACAGCGCAGAGTTCCAGGGTTCGAGTCCGGCTCCGGCCTTCCTGTGCGGCGGGGTTTGCATGTTCTCCCCATGTCTGCGTGGCTTTTCTCCGGGTACGCCGGTTTCCTCCCACATTCCAAAAACATGGCAGGTTAATGGAACGCTCTAAATTGTCTCTTGGTGTGAGCGCGGATGGCTGTTTCGTCTCTTTACGCCCTGCGATTGGCTGGCAACCGGTTCAGGGTGTTCCGCGAGACAGCTGGAATAGGCTCCAGCACACCCTTGTGAGGAGAAGCGGATCGGAAAATGGATGGATGGAGTGATTTCATCCTCTTTCTACGTACTGTTAACACAGTCTTTAATTTCTCGTTTATTGTCTTCAATCCTGCGTGGACGAAAGTAACGCTCTGAAATTCTTTCCATAAATGTGGCTGACTCCTGTTAAATAAAAGAAGGAAACACTCCGCCTTCGAGCTCACGATGAAGGTGCGATGTGCGTAGTAGATGGGTCTAACCCAACAAGTATCACTTTTTCACATCCAGGTGTAAAAAGAATTTCCCCACTGTTAAAAAAAAATGTCACACTTTTCCCTGTGACAACACGAGCTAATCTCATTTGCATAACGGCTCCTATCAAGTCTCCTCTTCATTTTAGTGTGATTGAAATCGCAATTTCTTCTTATTAACATTCCTCGTAAAGAGTGTTTTTCTTTGCTGTCTACTTTTTTTTCCCCGTCGTCAACACTGTTAAATGTTCCGATTGGTGTTCCGAATGAGGACGAGCAAAATAAAGAGGTGTTATTTATGGAAATGTTCCTCATAGGCTCCAGTCCATAATTGCACGCTGCAGTAGGCCGGGCTGATGCGGCCCACGATGTCGCTGCCATCTCCCACTGTGTGAATCCATTAGCGGCCCGCTCTCGGGGCGAAGGCCACCGAGTATTTGGAGGGAAATGGAGAATCAGCATTCAGTGATTTTTATTGAAATTTTTTTTTTTTTTCATACTCAACAGCTTTCGTTCTCGTTCGTCAACGAAGCGGGCTGCTTTTTTTAGACAGCGTTATGATATTATGTTCCATGCTTCCAGAAACCCAAAATCTTCTCATTCCGTTTCAAAGCGGCTGTCCAAAATCGGAAACAAAACAAGATGAATGCGATCCCTTCTTTCCCTTGAAATGGGATTGTTGAATCCAGAGACGTTGACGTGAAGTGCTCCATGACAATTGATTTCGAGATATTTTTTTCAGTGAAGTACAATTTTTTTTTCCCTTTAGAGTTGATTAACTATGAAAGCGACCGTACTGTAATTTACAGCAACACGTGCCTGTCTCTTCAGGCAATATAGAGCGCTCAAGTCGTCTGTCGTCACCGTGGTAACGACATACTTCAGCCACATTTCTACACATTGTCCTTTCCAAAGAAGGAAATGCCACTATTTGGATGGATTTGGGGGAAACAAAGACATTAAAAGCGTGTTGTTTTTTCAGGGCTCTCATGCAGTCGAATATTTAAAAAAAAAAAAAAAAATTGGTATTATTTTTTAAATGTGATAACTTCAAATTCAAATTGCATGTGGATTTTTTTTTTCTTCAAATCAGTCCTTTAGCTCACCCAAGCACTTTTTTTTTTTTTTGGATTGGACCATGACTAAAATGAACTGGCATAGCAATGATGGCACATCCAACAACACGTGGAGACCGCACGGGGTGCACATTTTTTCTTTTTGATGAAATGGTGGATGCTCCAATTTCTTATGTAATTTTCCGATCGCTCTTTCGCTCGATGAGTCTCGACCTAATCCGTTACCGAGGTTCGTATCAGCGCCGTACAGCTGTATGCCTGCGTGTCAAAGGCCGCCGATTTGCACCTGCGCTCACCTTCTTGAAGCAAGTGGTTTATTTCATACCCTTGTCACTGCACGGAGACTTTGTCATTCCAAAAAAAAACCCCAAAAAACGTGAGTCAGACGTGAGAGATTTGTGGCTTACTGTATATTTAAAAAAAACACATCACAGTCATGAAGTGTATGGCGTGACCGATGATTTTGATTCCCGCTTTGTGTGTTTAAAAAGAAAGCCGTGTGAGGTCGGCGTTGGAATCGCCGGTGACAACAAAATGTTTTCTGTTTCTGCATTATTTGATAAAAGAAGTTGTTTGCCCAATGGAAGCAAGGCGGAGAGAGTGCGGGGGGGGGAAGCTTTTTATTGAAGAAAAGAGCGCAAGCCGATTGGCGGGCAGGTTGCTGATGCTCCTCAAGGTCATTGCTTTTGCTAAGAAGCAGATTCATGCTGTCCAGCTCTCTTTTGTCTGTAAAATGTTATTTTCCTCATTTATGGAAGCATATTTATCGATTCCCTCCGTCTTCTGTGCATTTCAGGTTGACTGAAAATGTCATTTTCTCGTTCTTGCTTTTTCCCTTCCCCCCCAAAGCGTTATCTCTTTAAACCGAAACATTTCATCAGCCTCTCCCCCCCTGATTTCTGTCTTCTTTTGGTACCAAAGATGTGTTGCTCCAGTTTCTCAGTAGATGTCTGTCTTGTGAATACTGAAAAGGAGGTTAAAGAGGTCTAACATTAATTTTGGAATACCTAGTCCCCATCCGTGTTTGTTCTCTCTCCACATTTCAAGGCATCATATTATCAATTGAGCATTCATCGGTTGGGAATTGACGATTAAAGGCAACTTCGTCACATTTGCATCCTTCCATATCTGTCCATAATCCATACTTATTTAAATGTTGTTGTTTTTTTTTGGACAATGCTGTTTTGGTTTGCAACCATGCAACGACCAGCCTGCCTTCACCAGAAAAAAAAAAAACTAAATGTTCTTTTCAACAACCATTTCAAGCCACTTAACACACAGATTTTTTTTTAAACTGACTTCAAACATGAATACAGATTTAGAGGCCAAGTATTTGATCAAAGTCTCGTTTTTCCGATTCTTTTGTCCGATTGACAGTCACACCGATGTCCATCCGTAAAGCACGGCGTCACCACTGTTAAAGCATCCGTTTGATTTGAGGCCCAAAAAAACTCTAATTCCGTGAATATACACTTAGTTCAGAGAGCAAAATATCCCAATCGACGAAATAGGCAAGCAAAACTTTGCTCCAAAGAATTTGCATACAACAGACGAAAAGAACAAAGGGGCAGGCTATATTTAGAAGGGGCTGTTTGAGACTTCTGTGCGGCGTACGGTTGGGGGGGGGTGTCTCAGCATTTCTTGGTGTGTGCCTGCGAACTGCCATCCCACCATTGCCTTGCCTGCAGCATTGCCTCAAGACTGCTCAGCAGTTTTGTATCCCCAAGAGACCCCCCTGCTCTTCTCAGTGGGCCAAACCCAGATTTATCAGCCTGAATCCCTCCAAACTTTTCCAAAGCTTAAATTCACCAAGTTTTTTTTTTTTTTTCAAACTCCAGGTACTGGTAAAAGTCTATAAAATGGGGGGGATTTTTTTTTTTTTTTTTTTTAATCAAACCTTGCACAATTTGGGCTGACAATTTTAGATCGTTTTTTTTTTCCCCCTCCCCCCCCAAAAATGTTTTATTGCAATGGTTGGCTGGCGACCTCTAATGGTACAACTAAAAAGTCGCGACAGCAACATTACGGCTATTTTTCGTCTGTTGAAAAAAGTCTTTATTTCAATGGCAAATCATTACAACCAGCAATCAATGTAAAACAAAAAAAAAACAAAAAAAGCAATAATCTTGCACAAAATGCTCTGGCTTTTTACAGAAGGGACCAAGGGTGTAAGAACAGACATAGCATGGATAAAACAAAAAAGTTTAAAAAATAAGAAATAAATACCACCTTGAAAGGGGACATATAACGGAAACCTTTGAACTGTTTGTACGAAAAGCGTCGGATCTCCAAATGCTCACCTGTCTATCAAAAGTGAAATGAAACGGAGCACCTCCATCTTTTTGCGACGGCCTGGCTGCACGGAAACGCGACCTTGTTCAAAGCTAAACGCTAAGCGGAGCTGCAGTGTTGGATGCGCAGATTAGCATGACCTAGCTTTAGCTCCTGAAAACCGGCACATATTTGAACTTGAATCTTTGGCGTCCAGGTAACTTGCAAACGCGTAGGAGTGCTGGGCGCGAGCAAACTCATTTCTCATTTGCAGAATATAGAACCACCCACTCAAAACCTGATTCCATCCAGTCTCTATAATTCTTTTTGAATCGATGGGGAAAAAAAATTGAATAATATGTCTGGCTTAAAGTTAAATAGTTTTTACCAGTTCTTGGTTCCATCCCTTTACTTTTTTCCATATGAGGGGAAAAAAAAGTTTGGAAATCAGAAGCAGGCCGGTAAATGGATCGTGTTTATTCATCGCTTTTTAAGTGCATCTCATTTATTTTCGCATAAAGGCCGCAGTGGTTCTCAGCCTGTTGTGTTTTTGCTTTTGGCTTTATCACACTGTAAATAATTTCCTCTTGCTCCGTTTTATGGGGGGCACACGTTGGGCGCTGCCACGAATGAGCGATGAGTTGCGCTATTTTTCTTGTCAAAGGACTTTTTTCCGGAACGGCCGGTGGCGTTTTACGCGGGCTCGCCTTCTCTTCGCCGTGCGCTTCAGATAAGACGTCGTCGACTTGGGCGGGGCGGAGCCGCACCTCACGGAGCTCCTCGAGGGTCACCGCGGGCGTGGATCTGAGGAAGGCTAAGGAATCCGAGTGGTGGCGACGGAACTGTTTACCTTTGAAGCGGGGAGGAGTTTTCTGTACGGGGTAAGGTGGAGATTTGTCAGATAGAACGGGATCGGGAACGATAACGGGCAGCGGTATCTGAAGGGACAGCCGATGAGTGTGAGCCCGTTTGGAGGAGATGCTGGATTTGGGGCGGAGCTTCCAACCGAGCGGGTCATGTCCTGTTATGACGGACGTCCGAACAGGAGATGACGATGCGGATGTCGGCAGATGAGTAGCGGAGCCGATCCCGGTAATCGGACTGGAGTAACGTTGTCCGGGACAATGAGATCGGCAGCGAAGAAGGGAGACCCCCCGCTGGGGAGGCTGCGGCTCCTTGGTGTTTTTCTTGAGGGTAATGATAGGTGAGCCGTTGCTGTGGCAACAATCGGTGGACCAACGGCGTCGATGAGAGCAGGAGGTCGGGCCGGAGGTGGAGGTTGTGCGGTCTGATTGCCGTCCGGCTTCCTCTTTGTTCGTTGTGGCCGGATAGAGTCTCTCGTTGCAGCCTTTGACCTGCGTGATGTCCTTCTCGGAGCCGCACTTGGTCGGACAGTCGGCGGCATTGTGAGGAGTGGAGCTTGTGTTCATCTTATTTGGAGATTTTCAACATCCAAGTTAGTTGAGGTGGTCACGGGAAACCTTTGGGGAGGAAAGTGAGAAAGTGAGATGGGAAGTTTGCAAAAGAGGAACTGGCGACACTCCTCCCAACTGCTTGACTAACCGCTTACTTCTTTTTCACAACCAAGCGGTTGCCATGGCACCTGGCGTCAATCTGAAAGGACGTTTTTTTTTGTAAGCAAAAGTTGCGGTTCTTGCTAAAGCAACGTCACCGGCTGCGTTCCATGCAGAATTTTTATTTTTTTTTTTTAAACCCGACCGGAGCAGGATTCACATCTGTGTCATACGTATGGCATTCATTCCGTCGAGTTTACGCCAGCTGCACGCCAAGCGAAGCGAAACAAACGGAACGAGACAACGGCGGGCAAATTACAGCCGGCCAGCCGCTCCTCGCGTCGACCAACCTGTTGCAACGAGAAAAGTAAACTCACAAAATGGCGGACAATGTCGCGTTGAAGCAAAAATTAGATTGCCCTCATCACTGTCGTTTATTTCGAAAAAGATAATATCAATCATAACCGCCTTGATTGACCGCATGAACACCAAATCTCATGCATCCCTTTTGCTGCCGGAAAGATCCTTCGTCACACATTTATTTCAATCCAAATATGTCAAATCCCGCTTACCCGCAGTCCTGCGTCGATGTGACACCTCAGATGGTCTGGACGGACCAAATTTTCTCCTCATCTACTTTTGGCATTTGTGAAATCTCCCCACCCAGAGACCCAAGTCCAACCCTAACCACAACTTCCTCAAATTGTTTCTTGCACGCACAAATTTGGGGGCGGCGGCAAAAGGGAAGTTGAACATTTAGAACGTGGCAGGCATTCATCTTTAAATTACGCAACAGGATAACGTAATTGATTTCGATAGCACTTTGTGATGATATGATTTGACATGGGGACGACATTCTATTTCATCACAATTGTATGAATATGTTTACTCTGAAGATTTCATGAGAATGCCTTTTTGGAGGACCGCTGAATTGAATTTCTGCAGAGTAGTTGAACTCGTCGTGACAAATGCTAGGTCGCCTTAGCAAATTATAAATATAAAAAAAATATTCAGGCAAGATGTATTTTAGCCTGACAGCTCCCGATCTAAAAGGAAGTCTCATATCCAGTGATTAGATTTACTTGTCTGTCTGGCATCTTCATGACCTGATGGCTAAAATCAATGAAAGCAAGCCCAGTCGACTTCCTTTGGGTGCCCATCACCGTAAAAGCAAATAAGTGGACAGACATTTTTTTTTTTTAAATCCAAGATTGATGGAATGGAGGAATGCTTTTTTTTTCTCCATTCTGATCATTTCCAATCAAGTTTCATTTTCCATATCCTGTAATATCAGAATTCCTCCAGCTTTAGCCGAAACGACCTCGTTGACCCCTCGCTCCCACTTAAGGTTCACCGTCAGACGAAACATTTGTTTGACGTTGTATTTAAAACAACCGTGTAAATGTATTGGGGGTGTCTGCTGGCTTAATGCTAACGCATAATGCCAAACGCCATAGAAGGGCGAACGAATAGCAGCGATGTTGCAGCTTCTCTTTGGTAAACAACCTAATTCAGCAACCTGACTTGAAGCGTGTTTTGCTTTTGAAATGCAGCAATAATGACCGCGCAAGTTAGAATATGACACTCTTCGACGCGTCGCAAACGCTGTCTATAATTGGATCCCTTTCTGGCTCCCAAAGCTGTTTGATTCTCGTCGAGCAACTAAAAATACATTCTGAGGACCCGTTTGCATCTTTTTTTTTGCTCGTAGATGAGAGTAAAACTTCTTTTGACCTTGACAGCAATCACAATCCATCACACGTGGGCTATGACACACCAAAACACCCGCACGCACGCACACGTGTCGCCGACTTCTGCTTCCCACCCGCAGCATGAACTCTCATTCTCCGTGATGGCTTTGAAGTTAGATCACATCCAATTTTAGAAGCTGTGTTCCTTCTGCCACTTTCTTGTAATCCACCCACTGGCGAGCTTTTTCGAGACCATCCCAGTAATTGGCAGGTTGTCGACAGTCAAGGCCGCTAGTTGCACTCACTGCCACTATCTCGATGTAATGAAGGAATGTAAACCCGAGCGAGAAGAGAACGAGGCTTTGGGTAAACCTGCGGATGAAGGCAAGGATTATGTGAATGGGATTCACTTGACGATATTCTGAATGAGAAGGAGCCGGCCAGAATCGGGCAAAGAAATGAAAATGTTTCATTTGAGATTAAGTTGCCGCTCATGCTTTTCACCTTGTCACTGATAAAGCCTCAAACGAAGCTTCATGAGACAGTCTCTCACCCTAGTACTGAGTCAGACCAAAATCTTGGACGTGAAAACCCACTCCTTAACCCTTTCATGCGCCCTGTAATGAGAAGGAGCGGGCAGAATCGGGCAAGGAAATGAAAATGTTTCATTTGAGACTTAAGTTGCCGCTCGTGCTTTTCACCTTGTTACTGATAAAGCCTCAAACGAAGCTTCATGAGACAGTCTCTCACCCTAATACTGAGTCAGACCAAAATCTTCAATGTGAAAACCCACTCCTTAATGCACACAAACACGATAACACCTGTCAGTGGATGCGGAGGTTATTTCTTTATCTTCTTCCCACGTCAGCTTCACTTCCTTTCAGCCAATGGAGGTGATTTGGCACAACCCTGAACCTCTCCGTCACCTTCGCCGGTTTTCATCCATTCTCGGCGCGCTTTCGTTCAACCGAAAGTGGGCATGAGAGGGTTCGGGGGATTCTAAAATCTTCCCACCACTTTACACAATTGCGTGTGTAAAGCCATTAATCCGCCCCCAACGCCCTCTCACGTTCATTTTACTGGCAATATCTACTCCAAGCTTTTTGAATTGTTAATGTACACGACTGGGGTGTGCCTAATTGGATTTTCGATGCGATCACACATTGCGCGTCTCCTCCAGAGAACACTAAGAGACAGTAATTACCCGAACCGATTAGGCCTACAATGATGTCGGCTAATTGGAAAAAAAAAAAAAGAAGTAGGACAGCGTCTTTGCTGTAAATAACTATGCATTCGTAATTCACTTTGACGAATAACACACCCTCATAATTGATAAAACCATGTCACACAAGTGTGATTGAAACGACTGGGAATTGTTTTATATTGTGGGCGGGGGGGATGTGTAGCGTCTCATTTTCTGGGCAGAGTAAAGAGGTTTTTTTAAATATTCTTTGTCTCATACGTGTGATAACATTAAGTACAATTCTATTGTGTCTTTGACGACAAGATAGGGTGAGTTGATCGCGTCCAAAGTGACGCTGGAGTCGGCGTCGGGCTTTTGCGTGTGTGCGCGTTCCTGCTTTATGTGTATGACGCTCGTCAATCGCCCACCGCTCTTCCGGCAAAGGCCGGCCATCTCCGAAACCACCCACGTGGAACTAAAAGCAAAAGAGAGGCGTGGTTGTAAGACCAAAAAAAAAGAACAAATTTCCTTTTTGACTTGCATTTATCCATCCATCATCCTCCTCCCTCTCCTGGTCCCCATTTTGAATTTCACACTCATTCTGACATCTTCTCTTTTTGCAGGCGTGGTTGACAGAGATCTACGAGTACACCCAGCAGGACGTCGTCGTCATGCTGCTAGGCAACAAGGTGAGACCTTGTTGTGGACGCCGTCGAAGACTGCTTGATAGATGGGAGTCAAAGACGAGGCCTCGAAGTCATGAAAAAGAGAGCGGCGAGGGTGGAACAAGCTGATTTATGAAAAGTACTTTTCATGTTTTGTAGGCCCGATTTACACTTCAGATGATGCGGGAGTTTGTTCACAGCTTTGGAAGTTTCTGGTTGGCGTAAAATGACACATTTTCAGACTGTGAAACCTCTCCATTTGTCGATATACCATATTGGCCCGAATATAAGACGGCCCTGATTATAAGACGACCCCCTGTTTTTCAAGACTCAAGTTTGAAAAAAGACTTTTTGAACACCAAATTAATTTTTATACATAAAATAATTACAGTACATCTGAAACAAATGATTCTAACAATATATTTGAGAGAAAAAGCATGTTATTTTGCCTCATTGAGTTCTTAATATCTGAACATTTAAATATGTAAACTAAAGTGCAATCACATTCGTAAATGAATGGCTTCTGGTTTTTGAAATGTAAATTACATCATAACTTCTCCTCGGCTGCCGATTAACCTGGCCGAACTTCGACCCACTTTTCTCCAGATTGTCGTGACGTTTCTCCATTTTCTGTTATCTCTTCTATTATTTTCTTCTCTTCATTCTTACCGCTATTTTTTTATTTTTCTTCTTCGTGCTACCGCTATTTTTATTCTTCGTGACAGGGGTTCGCTTTGGCCTGGAGAGTCAAGTTCAGCATTCGCTTCAATGATATCTGGCGCCATCTAGCGTCGTGAATGGGTATAATGTCTAGACCCCGAATATAAGACGACCCCCACTTATTTCAATGCAAAAAACATAGTCTTATATTCGGGCCAATACGGTATATTATAATCCCAATAACTCAGCACGGCGGTGTCATGTCAAGCAGGCTACTCATATTGGCAAACTGAGAATTATCGCCCCTGACAGCAGTTCTCGGTTCTATCGAGCATTCCAAACCACCCCCCCCCTTTTTTTTTTCTTCCCTCCTTATTATTTACAACTTGTTCTCTGATAATCCCACTGTACACTATCCGCCCGGAGTCCAGACGAAGGGGCAAGTAAGCAGAAAGATATATGGACACATCTCTTCACTATCGAAGAAGGCATCAGTTGCTCATGAGTGTTTGGCTCGGCATGCTGGTGGGAATAAAAAAAACAAACAAAAAAAAAAGAGAGAAAGAGGCTGCCGTCAAGGTCATGTCTTCCCAACAGTTGCTCCTGAAAGTGTACTTCAAATAAATTAAAAATAAATAAAGGATGATCGCTGGATTTGAGCAGAACAATTTCGGCCCCCGCCTTAACCCCTTTCGAGGACAGCGGTCACTACAGTGGACAGCTGATCATGTGATCAGATTACAAGTTGCATGAAAGGGTTAAATAGTCCCAGCCAAACAATCTTCATTTAACTTTTAATATGGCACAATTTATTCTCGATTTATTTTCCTTCCGCGTTGCAACAACACAATGTCGTCCCGGGAGTTGTTTCCCTTGCAGATAAAAACATGCTGTGATGCTTTCCAGGCCGACTCCAACCATGACAGGGTGGTGAAGCGAGAAGAGGGCGAAAAACTGGCAAAGGTAATGCCGTCGTTATGCCTTCGAAAGCCACAAATGCATCGTTTACGCATTTTCACGATTCTACACTTCAATCTGTCCCCGCCGTCTGAATTAGCGTACGTATGAATGCAGTCATGGACGCTCCTTCCTGTTGTTCTTGTTTACGTGGATGATTGGCGAAGTGGGAAGGCTTTGCCCACGTAATTTTCCAGCCCATTTCACTCAGATGCGCTCCATGAGGTGTACAAGACGAAATGTGAGCATAAGTCGGAGGGGTGGGGTGGGGGCGTGACAATGTGGAGACACAAAGGAAGACGAGTGTCATGGTGGAACACACACGCTGAATCTCAATGTGAGACAAAGATCGGCATTAACTAAGGGGCAGTGAAAGCCTCCGCTTTTGTTCGGTAATATGCTTATCGCACTTTGCAGTGGCGGAGAGCTGCGTCACATTAAAACTCATTCACTACCAGCCAATTCTAAACCAAGTCTGAAAAGACGTTTAAAAACGTCATTGGGAGTGAATG